GTAACGTTAATAATATTCTTTCACCAGTGAAGAAGTGTAATATAACAATTTAATACAATCTAACAATCTAATAACTAGAAACTATACCAATATTGTCACAGAACAACGTTTCATGAATGTTCAAAATGGTATTGAAATTGTTCAAAGAAATATTTGAAGCATAAGTAACTATTACACCATGCACAGCGAATAATGGCAGATAAGAATGTAAGTGGCTACGTATTTTTCTGATTTTTAAATTCCAAATCTACTAGATATTCAAAAGTTGATTTGTCAACTACATATCCGCTTTTGTACCAACTATAACTGAATAAAGTCTCATATCATGGCGCAGATTACTGATTGTGCGTTAGTGATTGCAACCTTATTATAACGTACATAAATACTACAACTTTCGTTTAATAACAGTTCACCCTGTGATTTCTTGAAATTTCTTTTTATTTAAAACTGAACGCATGGGAGAGATTTTGTAGATTCGCAAGTATTGCTCACTGAATATAAATTTGGCAACACTATAACGAAAGTATGTTTTACTAAAAGAGTTGAAATATCTCGTGAATTATTAAGTTTTCGATTATTTGCAGAATAACCTGAAGAATAGATTTATGCAAGAAAAATTATATAGTTCCATTTAAAAAAAAAAGTGTCGCTGCACCTTGTAACCACATCAATACACAAAAATGCATAAAAGTAATGCAGAAATATAAACCATGTAACGCCATTCAATTTGGCTTTCGAAATTGTGTTCCATCTCTAACTATTTTAAATATATACATAAGTACATATGTAGCCCTGTCCAATTGCATGGTAAATACCCTTAACATAGAACAGGGCAAACCAAAATGTCACGAGGTTTTTAAACATTCACATGATAAAACATATATGTATTATAGGAAAAGAAAGATGAAAGAACATTTTTTTTTTTCTAATCTTTCTAATGTTTGAGAGGGTAGAACATAATATGAAACATTCTCTTAATAAAAGGAGTTGATATTCCCTTTTAGTTAAAATTTCCAAAATTAAAATTATAGATCAATTGTAATAGCGAAGTATCGATACATTTACTTCCAAAACAATGCTTAACTGAATACTTAATTATTAAATGTTTGGATAAAATGTTTAGCTAAATGTTTATTACTTTTAAAATTTGAAGAAAGTGTATTTTATATGAAGGAAAAATCCCTTTGTAAGAAAAATTTTCTAGAAATTTAATGTACTCTTTCAAGCTGAAGAAAATTGACTATTCACATTTTTCATTACCGTTAAAGAATATTAATGTAATAAAAAGTAAAATGTACAGTAAAAATTTTATTTGTACATACTTAAAAATTAATCTTCTTAAGCTACATTCATTACTAAATCGCAAATAAAAACTGTAAAATTCACTTACTCATTCAACTACTATGTACGAAGTAATTAAATTTGCATGAAATTTTCTACTTGCAATTTCTTGTTTCACAGATAAATTAGAGTACGTAAAATGAGAGCAAAACTAATGCTTGCAATATATCAACGAACAATTCCACCGTTTCATTAAAGAAAATTGAAATGAACACACTCACCTCACCTCTCATTTATCCTTTGATTATTCTTCCATGACTAGAATATTTAAAAAATCAGTATTGCATTAATTCTAGACACTAAACAACTACTTTTTGACTTAAATCACTGTAACTCAATCATTCATTAATGCAAAAACCTTGTACAATATCCTATATTAGGTACTCGTACAGTCTTCAAAATTTAAAAACAACATTCACATTATTTATAATCATCGAAACGGCAAAAACAAAAAGGCAATAAAGTATTGCTCTTTACAAAATATACTCAACGAATCGACATAAGATCTTCGTCTGTTTTTATTTCGATTTCGACATCTGTTCATGACAAGTTATTAGCGCGGGTACAAACGATCGACAGGAAAATCACAGCGTACCGGTGCCTAGCGAACAATCGCACACGTTACTGATGGCGATACATCAGATATGCCTCTGTCTACTACGTAGAAGGTCACTGTTTCCTGCTATTGGCCGGCAAACTCGATCAGAAAGTCAAGCAATGATACACGTGGTTCATATAATAAGCCGATACTAAGACCGACTACTAACGAGCCATCGAAGACGTAAATCGTAAGGGGGAGCATTCGATTGCCCGGAAAGTTGCATTTGCATGCTGTGTAACGTAGCCTCGTAGGAAGTGAAATGGTAATCGTCTTTGGTTATTCTTAATAGCGTCAGATCCGACTCAAGCACATACACGTTCTGCAACAACTAAGGCCATGTCAGTCATTAAGAAGAATACTGCCTATGCTGCTTATTGTTAAACACACAATTGAATTTACATAATTAACATTCTATAGAAGTATAAACGCTTTTGTGTTGATAAAATAATAACCGAAAATTTCAAAGAAATAATAAAGACAAAGTTGCATGGTAGAGATTAAACAGAATAATCTTTTCATACCAGAAAGGAATGAGAAGAAGTCATTGTCCATCTAAGAAACTAAAAAGAGACTAAGAAACTAAACTAAGAAACTCAAGTTTTATTGATCATAATTTGTCTTATTATACATATATTAATTTGTACAAAAGGTGATTGAAATGTTTGTATATCAGTATAAATATCTCCTTGATGAAATGTATAATGTGAAATATTGGGTATTGTGTGGAAATTAAAAGTAAATTGACGACTATAAAGAGTTAATGAATTTAACTGCTTACCCAAATTTATCGTCATTTAACACATTGTTAACCAATTGAAAAGATCTCCCCGTTTGAAGTATAATGACGTAAAACAAAAAGGGGTACTCCCCTATTTTGCGTTGTGCTGTATATTGTACTATTAATGTACGCGCAATGAATCCGTTTATACGAAATTTAAACAATCTGTAACTAAAAATAACGTTTATAATTGAATTATTATTTGAATAAAACTGTATTGATCAATCGCAAGTAATAATTATCAATCTTTATAATTTACCTATTCATCCAATAATATTCTATTTGTCCGGTGTATGATTTGACTCATTATTGTTATATGTGCAAATAGCAAATAATTGTTTGTATAGTTATTTATACAAATAAGTATTGGATTTATGAAATTATTACTAGAAAAACATTCATTAGTCACAAATAAATCACTTCATATCACTTCATTCCTCGTCTCAAAAAAATTTAACTTACATATTTCTAACACAAGAGTTTGAATAAAAAAATTTTATCGGTGGTGCGAAATATAAAAAATTGCTGAGCTAACACAAACTGTAAATTATATGATACTTTTTAATACAAAAATTATTAAAATAAAGGTCTTTCTACGTTCCTTTATCTCTTGAACTGCTATTAAAAAAATTATTAATCATAATACAAAGATTACAGTGAACCCTCAATTCTTTAATTAATGTATATACATTTCACAATATTCATATACAACACCCTACATAAATTGATTTTTTCACATAGATTACGATAAATTAATTTATCATCTAACCAATATGTACGCAAGATTATTTATACTAAATGTCAAAATTTTAATTATAATATAACTTATTTAAAAAGAAATCAGTGCAAATTTTAATAGTCGATCAAACGTATTATAGCTAAACAAAATAGCCGTCTTCTGCAGTTAGCGATATACAGTCAACCCTCTTATAACACGGTGCAAAAATTGCGACCGTTCTCCTTTAACACAATATTCTTTCAAATCGTTTCCATATAGCGCGGCTTCATAAACTTAGGCACCTCTTACGTAGCACGAATGTTTCAAATATGCATTCTTATACTATTTCATTTAAAAGAATATCTGACTCTCGCCAGTCTCGAGCACACGCAGTCATACACAAAGAAATATACACACGCACCCAACTGCTCGCCCACTTCACCCACACCTATAATACAGTGATGATAAATATTAATAAGATTATTTGCTTTCTAATAAGTGCTTGTTGTTGTTGTAATTTGTATTTTTTAGATTTATAAAAATTCTGAATAACTATCTTATCTTTGATTTAATATATGAACTCTTAAAATCATTAAAAGAACTCAAAATAAATTCTTTGGGTTTGTATTATTTCTAAGTTTCGTTCAACGCTTTTCAAATAGTACGGCATTCCGAGAAGACGGAACAAATCCCCCTGGTTTGCATTCGTTTTAAGTTTCGATACAGAACGACACTCTGAGAACACGGTATCCATATAACACGAAACGCATTCCCCTAATTTCTATTAGTTTATGGTTTCCCTTAACACGTCTTCGATACAACACGGACTGAATCAACCGTGTTATAGGAGCATTGACTGATCGGAGCGTTGATCTAATACATACTGTGCGGGTACCCGAGATTACGGGCTCGGGTGGTTTCGGGTAGAGCAGCTGCTATCGATTATCGATAATATCATTAAGATATCGTTAAGGTGTGTGGGTTTCGTTAAGAATATAGTCTTAGCTTTTATTAAATTTAATTAAATAGTGTTTTAATTAATTTTTTTATTAAATCTATCTATTTTTATTACAACTTATTACTGATAGCATATTAATATGCTGCTGCTGCTAAAGGAGTTATCCGTATTATCCATATTTATATTTGATGCTGATGAATCTAGTTTCGGACGGGTACCCGCCCGACATACGACATACAAATGCTCGAGCTGCCCGATACTTAACGGGTAACCCGACAGTTTCAGGCCAATTCGGAAGAGGAAGAAGTCAGGCAGTCAGGTGGATCCCTACATTATCGGCTACGATTCATAATCCATTTAATCGGTCAATAGTATTATAGATATCTGTCAACTGTTTAATAATGTAAATATATAACGTAAACTAACCTCTAAATAAAAAGAGAGGAAAATACAAATTTTTTCAGTTATTTATAAGTTAGTTTACGTTGCATATTTACATTATTAAACAGTTGACAGCCATCTACACTCTAGACACATTTTAATAACTAGAGGTAAGAAAGACACCGATAACTATACATTTCTAATATTTGTAACTTCACTTTTCTTAGTCTGTCTTCTCTTGGTTGGACGTTTTGGTTTTCGATTTTGATGGGAATATCACAAACAATGACATTTGCATCAGATTAAGAGCAAACCCTACCGCGTTCTGAAACTTTTAAAAGGCACAACGCATTAGTGAATAATATAGTTTTTATTAACATGTGATTTATGTTCAAACAAATATGAATCCAATAGTCTACTTACGATAATAAAACCGTTACCGATTACAAGGCCGTATAATAGCCACAGAAATGTCACAATACTGCCCATAAATATAAGTGGAAACGGAAGAATATCCGTATTTTTTGTTTCTATAATCTCTCCCTAATGAATAAAAAGAAAAGAAACAAACAATTATTCTAATGTAAATTGTAAAAATATTATTAATTTAGAATACTTGTTAAAGCTTAAAATACATCACGTTATAATTTTTAACAATTGAAAGATCATCAAGGGGCGTTCAGACGATAAATATTTATTGACAAACTGCATTATCCTCATACGTTCAATATTTATTGGCAATACATTTAGTTTCGAGTTAGTGTTAACACTAGGTTTACGGGACGCATCAATTTGACGCATTTCGAATTTCATGAGGAAAATTACAGAAACTGTTTACATTTTTCATCTACCACTTGTACTAACTTTTATCCATTTAACGAGACAAATATATATCGAAATTCATTTTCTTCGAAGCTTTCTAATTTTTAAATTCTCTATGTGGTATACCTATCTCTACGGATACGCGTCAATTTGAAGCCATCGTAAAGTAAGCATTAATGCTAGTAAATTGGCTTCACTCATGAAAGCATTACTGCAGTAATAAATATAAACGTGATAAAAGAGTTAGTTCTTCAAGAAATGGGGCTTTCTTTTCGAGCACAATGCCTAGAGATCAATTTATGCAAATTCTTCGATTCATACAATTTGATAAAAGAACAGAACGATCCGAACGTTTACGTACAGACAAATTTGCATTGATATCTGAAATATGGAACAAATTTATACACAATAGTCAATCCTGTTATAAACCTCACGAGAATATTTCAATAGACGAGTTACTGTTCCCTACGAAAGCCCGATGCAGATTCACCCAATATATGCCAATATCACCATCTATAAAAGTAAGCCAAAGCTAAAGGTATTGTTACTAAGCACTAAGCAAAGGTCTGTAAAATTAAAAGACAATAACAAACGCACCCCAGAAACAATTGTATATTACAATAAGACTAAGTTTGGAGTAGACGTAGTTGATCAAATGGCGGGAAATATACCGCCAAAGCATCGTCTTTTCGCTGACCTCTCCAAGTGTTCTTCAATATTTTGGATTTAGAATATTATAAATTTTATATAAATATACATCTCATAGTTTCATTTATAAGTTAATAGTATATAATTATGTTGTTTTTTAAAGAAAATGTATGATTTTGTTCATGCGTCAAATTGACGCGTGTCCTTATAGATAGGTATGCAGATTTATTACAGTTTTACGTTCAAAGTCGTGACACTGCGATTTTCACAATCTTTAACCGTTTGTAGGTCAGAGAAACATTAACCGATTTCGATGAAATTTTCAGCGTGCGTGTCGTTAACATAGATCTACAAAACGTATTTTTTTAAATTTTCATTACGAGCTCAGATATAAAAGTTGTAAAAACGACCTTCGCTATTTTCTTCGCGATTCCGACTAATTGCAGTTTTTTCAAAAATTTATACAAACGTCGGAATGACGGCAAAAAACCATTTCTCTAAGCCTTATAAAAATAGCGGTGCAAAGTCAAATTTTTTTGACACGCATTTTTTATGCATTTGTTCACGATCGCGCGCGGATGAGTCGCTGCGCTCCCGTCCCTGAGCGCTGGCTCTACGGGCGCTATGATTGGCCAGTGTTTTTCGTTAATAACTCGAAAACCAAGCTTCAAATTACATTTTGGATAAGGAAAAAGTTGTTCAGGGTCACCCCAGCAACCTCCCATTGCAGGGTGGTCCCAACGTTACGGGACACCCTGTATAAGAACTGTCCATAAACCTAGTGTTAAGAACCTTAAAATATTGACAATATGTACATTGATTGTCTGAACGCCCCTTTAGCGAAATTTTTTATTTTCATTATCGGTTTCATATAATTCACTATATCGACGCTATTCGCAATATAATATGTAACACTTTAAAAAATTATGTTTTAAAAGATAAAAATATAACTTTTCCTTTAACGACAAATTAACCATCTCACAACTTTTATAAAATTACTAATTTACGATTGGTATAGATGGGTATTTTTAATATTACACTCTACTGAAATGCACACACGCGTGTGTTTGCAATGTTCGGCTTTTAACTCCTTAACGCTCATGTCTGTATCTTACACGTATACAACTAATTCTTTAAAAAATACAATGTTTTTAAATTATTTTCTTCCACTTTTCATATTGCGCTATCTTTTCTATTCTATGGCAACAAGATAAGTTACAGCATTATAAATATAATAAGTGGAAAACTTATTTCTACTCGCCTAGGAAATAATTAAAAAAAAATGAAACTGATCGTTTTTGGCACATCAAGTTCAGAAAAATGTGAGCGTTAAGGGGTTAAACAATAGATATTACACCTTAAAACATAAAGGCAGACCGATGATGACAATTACATAACTCTAATGTGAGAAGTGTGCACATCGCTATATCTGCGAACATAGTGATAAGTGTCATTCGTTAATCTGATATTGATAAACGATATTAAACTTATAAACACATAGTATTATTCGTAATTTCACGCATTATAGTGTTGTATAAATTCATTTATATTTACAAAACTTTCCCATTTAGTTTTCGTTGTATCATATCATACATGTTACAAATACTCTAAATAAAAAATTTTAAGTATAAATAAAAGAATTCATCGCTTTGAAAACAAAATTTTGTATAAAAATTTATATTTGAAACTTCACGGTTTTAAAATGAGACCAGAAATATCTTAAATATTTGAACAAAGACCACATGCGTTCGAAACTATCTTAATTTCAGTAGTTAAATACCATAATGCTCGGTGACATACAAAAAAGATTTCGGTCAACGAGAAATTGACGCAATACACAACCCGGTATAAAATAATTCAGTTAAT